TTTCCTAATTATTGATATTGTATTTCAAATTTTTATTTATTTATTTATTTATTATTATTATTACTATTAAGGGACATTAGCAACTGGTCTAATTCCACGAACATAAAATTGGGGAGGGAACCATACAATTCCCATATCCTTCAAAATAAATAAAAGATTTTATATAATTTAGTCCCTAGAGTTTGACGCTTTGGTATGTTAGTCCTTTTGGTTTGAAAATCATAAGTTAGTCCCTAGACCAAAATTGATTATTAATTATTTTTAAATTTCCTAAAGTATCCTTTCCAATGCATTTTTAATTTTGTGTAATTGGTGAAATTGTAAAATTTAATTGTAAAACGGAGGATATTTTAGAAAAAAAAAAAAAAAGGTTATCGTGAAAAAACAATAAAAATGAAAATGTAACCATTCAATAAAATAAAATATGTGCTAGTGTAGGCCTGGTCAGGCTTAATTTGCTCGTGCCTCCATTTTCCCCGTACAAAAGTTCTTGGCCCAACCCAGCTACAACTGACAAGTAACTAATTAATATTGATGTCGGTTGATAAACTTCCCGCAGTCTGCCGGCTAGTAAACTCCTCCTCAATCAATTTTTCTACGATCTCCTACATAATTGTGAAAGATATAATATTAAATAGTTAAGTTAAATAACGTTACAAATTAATATGTTTGATATGACGTTATAAATCAAAAACTTATTCGATAACTCTTGACCACCGATTGACGAATGCATATTGATCATCAACCTTTTTCCGATGGATCCTTTTGAAAACCTCGTATGGATCGGGTTCACGACCCAACAACTCACACTAAAATAAATACATGTGAATTTATGAAATATACTCAAAATTTTAATTAATTATATTGGAATCACTATATATACATATATATATACACCATGCGTATTGCGTGCTCTCAATGGCTGAAATTCCTAAAACAATCAAAGAAATTAATAATGCTAATTTTTATTTTATAAAAAAAAATTAAAAATTTATACAACTAAACTCAATATTTATCTTTAATATTGTTATCATAACAATGTTCAGTTTTCACTTATTAATTTAAATATTAGAGTAGGCATTTTAATTCAATGCATAAAATGTAATTCATTACATTTAATCTCTTATTAGAAGATAATAAATCATCATACAAGTCATAAATAGCATAATTTTAGTATTAATTGAAATCCTAAAATATAAACATTAAACTATAACAATTATATGCATCAAAATATAATTTATTGTGTTTATTCACTTACCCATAGCCAATAAAGCATAACATAAAAGAAAAACAGATAAAATACTAAAAATACCATTCCAAACAAATCTTATATAAATTTAGAATTAAAAAAATAAAAATAGAAAGCATTGTTTTAATGGAATTTGTATCTTTATAATAATTGCCTCTTGATGATGTTAGAAATCAGTATTAAAAAAGAGTGAATCTCAAAAAAATTAATATTATTATTTGATCAATGGTGACTTGGTGTTGGTGTGGTTGTGTGAAAAATAAGTTAAAAGTAAAAAACAAAGAAGAGGATGGGGGGAGACGTGGAAGAATGAGGAAAAGAAAGTGAAAAAGTAGAATAATTTTAGTGAGGGGGAGATATTATTGTGTGGGTCAACAACATATTTATTTTGTTAGTCAAAAACATTTAAGGGGTCGATCACAAAATTTCTGCTATATTTTTATACCAACATATTAATAATACATTATATAAATAATTTTTTTAAGAAAAAAGTTTAGGGAGGCCATGGCCATGGCCGCCCCATTATCCTCCGCCTTTGCTTCCAACACAACCTCCATTAAACTCAGCTAACCACCACAAACGACATTGGCCCTGTTGCAATATAACGCGAGATGCAGACTAGTTTCTATCTATAATGGGTAAAGTATGGTTTTCATTAATTTGAATAATTGTCATTTCATTGAAAAAGAGATTACTACTAAGTTTTAATAAAATTTCGTATAAAAAGTTTATATGTCCACTGTTATTTCGTTGGGCAATAATATTATTCTATATGTTATGGTAATTAAAAGAAATTTTATAATATTCAAGGAGTAACTAATAGTATATATAATAGTTACTTTATAAATTCATTACATAGAAAGAGATAGATAAAAAAAATAAAAAGAAATAGGAGAGAGGAAATTAAAAAAATTGAACAAACATAAAAAAATTTTCATCACTTTTGATGATTCGGATATAATTTTTTTTTATATATATATATTTATCTTTCTTCTCAATGTAACTTTAGTTTCAATAAAAGAAATAAATGTATTTTTGTCGAGGTTGCTCAAGACTGGATAACCTTCCTCATAAAAAAGAAAAAAAGAAAAAGGAATGTAGCTTCTTTCTTATTTATAGAGTCAACTCCGGAAATTTTACAAAGAATCTTACGGATAATTCTTTTTTTTTTTTTTTTTACCCATATCCCCGATGTTTTTATTATTTTATTGTTGCTAATCTCTATTAAATGTTCATTTTTATTGAAGGTAACTTCTTTCTTAACCACCAAATTCATGTATTTCTAATTTTCAACAGGATTAGATATAGTTCTTTTTTTTTTTTTTTTTGGATTAATGCATTTCTAAACTTAATTTCTATTTATAATGTATTATGTAATTATAATCCTATATATAAATTTTTTTTAATTAAAATACAATCTCAAAATTTGTTTCTTAAAATATAAAATTTATCCTCATGCACCTTGGGGTAAATAGGTGTTACTAGCTAAATATCCGAGCTACGCTGCGATTAAATAACCATTATATACTCGGGATTAATGATTCGTGTGGTGTGATTCGAGCAGATTTTTGTTTACGGAGATTAATGTAAATTGAATCTATATATTAACCGAACTTGTTTGATTTATATATATATTTATTAACAAAACAATTTATAATATTAGTATAAAAATTTATATTTGAATAATTAATAGGTTCTTTCAAAACATTAATTAAATTATTTTATTTAAAAATATAGATTTTAGAACATAAAAAAATAAATAAAAAATAATTGATATTATGTGTGCGGATGTGATTAATTTATAACAAAACAATATATATATATATATCACACACACACACACACACACACATACTTAACGCATTCAAAATATATAGAATAAATAAAAAATATATAAAAAACACTTAAATCGTATGAAATATATCGAAGTGAATAGATTTAAATAAAAACTACTCTAAAATTGGTTTCGATAAATTCGATTATATATATAACCAAATAAAACCTATAAACTTTTTAACTAATTAATATTTTTTAAAAAAAAATTGAGTCGAATATTTTTTAACCAATTATTATTTTTTAAAAAAATAAGTCAAATTATTTAAAACACACTTCTAGCTCTCTCTCCCTCATCAAAATTTATATATAGAACTACACTAATCTCATTTAAAAATCATAAAAATAATCAATCATATAAATAATAACAATATATTTTAGAAAATAAAACAATCATGTTCTAAAATTTTATTTCAAAATTCATATATAAAAAAATCAAATTTATTAACAAATAAAATTATATGAAATTTAAAAACTTAATTCAATGAGAATTTTAATAAGAAACAAACAATTGAAAAAATAAATTTTAAATAATAAAAATAATATAATCAAATATATATGTTCAAATTAAAATATTAAAAAATATCATATATATTTTATTACGTCAAATTGTATGTAAAGAAAAATAACGATCTTTTTTTTATATTTTCACACCTAATTTCATGATAAAAAAATATAAAAATAAATTATTGGAAGAAAAAAGAAGAAGAAGGCAAACGCTGGTTGGGACTATTTGTGCAGGTTTGTGAGCTAGGCCAGAGCCAGTGGCAACGCTAAAAATGCTACAGTAAATGAACAGAAAAACCTTAATTCTTTTAGTTTTTTTTACAATAATATATATATATATATATATTGGTTCTGGGGTGATTGTGTTTTTCTTTTCTATGAAATACTACATTGAAATAAATAAAATTTAGATTTAAAAACGAAAGATAAGCAAGTTATATACATCTATTTTCGGTTAAAAGAAAGCAAGATTTCTATTGACATTAATTAGGAATCGAATTTTATTTTTCTTTTCATTTTTTACGATAAGTGCACGAGATTTTCTGATTAGATTGAAAGTTCATCAGGCATTAGGATAACAGCCATTAACTGAGGAGGACTAAAGAATCTTCTTCCACGAGAATGACTGCTGAGAGTAAAAGCTTGGCTAAATTGCCGAACTAAACTTTAGGCGATTAATTATTGTCCCTCCAAGCATGAGTACATTGAAAACCAGGAAATGACAGAGAATTCGGGAGAAAAAAAATGAATGAAAAAACGGATACTAAAAGCTGAAGTTCTGTCCAGCAAAAGAAACAGTTCATTGCTTCCTGATCATTATATGCTAGTGAGTTCTAATTGCCCAGTTGAGAAATACAACAATGGAGATCACCACCACCAGGAGATTTAATAGCCCAGTTGGGGTGATACCATAATGGTACAGAAGCTTCAAAGCAACAAAAATCAATTCCAGCCTCTGTAAATCGATTGCTTCTTTATTTCCTGAGCATGACCATCACAAAAACAAAAACAAAAATAGCAGACTGCTGGATTGAATCTTTACACTGTCACGCATTTATGTACTATTTCTCCCACGGTTTGTATTATTGTTTCTCCTGCCACATGAATTAAGTGTTTCTCCAGAATGCTCTTCTTTATCGGCAACAGGAGATCTCTATCAAGAATCATCTCTTTGTAATGTGTCCTGAAGATCAATTTTGGGGCATTAGAGATTGCAGTTTGTTATTCCCTACTTGGAGTGAGAGTAAGCAGAATATCCATTCTTTTGAACACGCAATTCCTTGACAAGAATTCTTTCGTTCCTTCACTATTTGCTCCTCTGCAGAATATGCTTCACATACATTGATGTTGAATCCATCCCTCTCCTACAAGCCTTCTAGCCACTGACAATTTGAATCATCTGTAAGTTAAATCAATTCTTCACATGTCCATGAAATTTATCAAGAATCCGCCACGTTACAGCATCTGGGGCCAACCCATTCTTTTGCATTTCTCCTACAATTTGGTAAGCTTCTCTTTTCATGCCTAACTTGCAAGCGCTGTCAATCACGATGTTATAGCTTACAATATTAGGATTGACCCCAGAGTCTACTAATTCATAAAGAAAATGCATGGCCTCATTCCAGTGGCCTGAGCGGCAAAGCCCTTTAAGAATGGCTGCATAAACAAAATCGTCATGGATTTTTGATGGCCAAATAACCTCATCCCAGAACTTCTTAGCCCCGTCTATTTGGCCAGACTCACATAATCCCTCGACTATTATACTGTAAGTTGTACTGCTGGCAGCTACACCATCAGTTATCATTTCATCAAAAACGCCCATTGCCTCATTTCTTGACTGAAGTTTAAACAAACCACGAAGAACTGCATTATATGTCACAACACCAGGACTGATACCCTTTTCAAGCATTTGAAGCAATAAATTGCGAGCTTCTTGACTTCTTCCAACATTTAATAAGCCACTTATGATGGTAGTGAAGGTCACAGCATCAGGGGCACAAAATTTCCCTGTCATCATATCATTTAGAACCTTCAAAGCTTCTTCAACTCTTCCCATCTTGCAAAACCCATTAATAACTGTGTTAAGAGTAATCACATCAGGCTGACAATTAGTTTGTAGCATAGAAACAAGCACATTCAAAAGCTCAGTTGGATTATTCAAGAGACAAAGCGCTCTCAAATATATATTGTAAATCCTAGTTCTATCCACCCCTTTCTTGTTCAACATAAATTTTAAAACTTCCCTTGCCTTTTTAAGATCCATCGCTTGACAAAGTGCTTCTACCAGATCCTTGTAAGTGTACTCAGACGGCAAATAACCAAATCCAACCCCTTCCTCTAACAACTGATAAGCTCTCATGCAACCCCCTTCCTTACAAAGCCCATGTATGATTGAATTATATGACACTACGCTTGGTGTAAACCCTTTCTTCCTCATTATATAAACAACCCTGGAAGCACCGTGGCTCCTTCCAACTTTACAAAGGGAATCAATCAAATGCCCATAAGCAAATTCCTCGTTCACACTATTTCCTTGTGGCATTTCCTCGGCAATCATGAAAACGTCGGTGAATAGCCCTTCTCTACACAAACAATCAACAAGATTGGCAAAAGCGGCACTATTCACTGACTGGTCCTCTTCATATCTCATTCTCTCAAAGAGTTCACACATCAACTCTTTCCCACATTCAATATCTCTCTTCCTAAAAACCCCACGAATAAACAAACTATAAGTTAGCGAATTAGGCACAACGCCCCATTCACCCATTTCATCAAACAACTTATAAGCATCAGAAATTTCACCAATTTTACAATACCCGTCAACCAAAGTAGTATAACTAACAATATTTGGACAATGCCCTCTATTAATCATGTCATACAACATCCTGTGCGCTACATTTGGCCGCGAAACCGAGCAGAACTGATCGATCAAACGGTTATAATTAATCAAAGAAGGCACAAAGTCAGGCTTAAATTCAATCAAACGATAAATAACATTCAAAGTACTGAATGGGTCTTTAGAATGAAGCAAACGAGCAATGAGTACATTACAAGTACGCTCATCAGGGACACAAAGAGAGGATAAAAAGATGGTAAGGCGCTGGTGGGCTTCATTGAAGCGGTTGGCATCACAGAGGCCGTGAATTATGCTGCTGAGGTTGAGGGAGTCAGGGAGGTAGCCACGGAGGCGGAGGTGGTCAAGAAGGCGGAGGGCTTCATCGACGTTGTGGTGTTTGGTGCAGAGGTGGTGGATGTTTTGGGTCCAGTACGGCCTGTTTGTTATGCAAATGTTTTGTCGTTGATGGTGGTGTGTTGCTGGTTCTTGGTTTAGTTGATTTCGTGGGTGTGTAGAGAGGAACAAGAGGGGTCTGAGCTTGGGTTTAAGAGGGATTAAGGGCTTCTTGAGTTTTGTAAGATTGGCGAGGAACATTGCTTTGGATCATGCTTGTCAGAGAATGATAAAGGTTTTCAAGCGCCAACCGCCAAGAGTTCAAGTTCTTGATTAATTCCGGAAACACAACAAAAGTAGTGGACAAATGCTATGTTAATGACCTCAACCATCCTTGCACTTTTTAATTTTTATCAATTTCATCCCTTATCAACAAACAAAAAAAACAAAATAGAGATCTTTTGTGTGGCAAAGAGCTAAACAGAATAACAGATGCACTTTTGCACCCATCTTAACCGAGGGTTGATGTTATTATTGGCAATTCATTGTAGGGATGAAGGTGTTGTAATTTGTAAGATTGGAAAGGAGCTTGTAAAATTTGAATGTTGAGGACTGAGTCGTTAATTTGCACATACAGACAAGGAACTGGTTGAGTAAATTATAATTTAGTTACTGTGTTTTTTATGATTATATTTTTTTAATTTAGTCCTTATATTTTTTTTAAATCAAATCTTAATTTTGTGTGAAATTGAAAATTTTGATTTAGAAATCAATGGCATTTTTTTCATGACAATTTACAAACCAATAAAAAGACTAAGTTGCAAAAAAAATGAAAAATGAAAAATGAAAATGCATGGATCTAACATTGAGTTTTTTTTAAAAAAAAAAAAAAACCAAATGAATCAGGCAAACTAAAAACACCAGCATCAAATAATAATTTACTTGAATTGACTTAAAGTAACACAAATTAATTTTGAGTGGGATTTGGGGGACCAAATTTGATATCTTCGTATTGATGTACAATAATTGGTACGACCAGAGAGAAACATCTTCACCAAGGCTTCCAGGTCTTGTGGTTTGGCGTTATATTTCCGCATTCACTCAACATGTTTTTAAGCATTGGTTGCGACCACAAGACACAGAAAGAGATTTAAGAAATTAAGGACAAGGTATAGAGAGGAAAATTAGGTAAGTGAAGCCATTTCAGCAACATCAAAAGATTTACCAAGCCATTGCCACCACCAATTTTTAGTTCACGAGCATAAGCTTAATAACCTTTACAAAGGAAAGCTGCCTCTGTTGAGTATACTCCCAAACAAAAGATCCCTGTGAAAAACAGGGCCTATTGTCAGTTATTTTTCTTTCCATAATACTACAGATATCATACGGTTGATGAATGAATTGTTGCGATAATTATACTCTCTTTGCAATCATACAAGATCATTCTTTGAAGAAGTCATTGAGATAAGCCTTGGACTCAAAACTGGATCAATACCAGCAAACTCTAACCACTAAAGAGAAATTTTCAAACAAAAAATCTGGAAACTGAATTGATTTCATTAGAAATCTTACCGAACATCGACCAGATTAACAGTTTTATAGCAAAATGATGTTACACTATCCCAATACTGTACGTCATTTCCCGTCTCAATATAAATACTTAAGAAGTTCTATTAAGAGATTGCATTTGGATTAAAAGGGAAGCAGAGGATGACACAATGGAGTTTGGACTAAATTATAACGACCAGAACATAACGCTTAGCTTCATAGAACATGCTTCCCAAATTAAAACAACAAAGAGTCATATATATATATATATATATATATGATTTGCCTTTTGAAAATCTTCCATGTTTTTCTAACAGCACTCAACCCCGAACTTAAGAGTAAAGAGCATTCTTCCTTGGGAAAAGCATGGTACATGAATTAATGAGAGATGAAACAAATTCGATAATATACATATATACACACACGCCAACAAAAATAAAAAATAAAAAAACTAAGGTATTTGAACAGTAAGTACTGGTTATTTGCTGTACTCTAATTTTTTTTTTTTTTTCTGAGTTGTCCAGCAGCCAAGCCCTGGCATTTGAGCCTACGTGCCAGGCCTTGGTTGCCCAACTTGGCCTTTTTTTTTTTTTCTTCATATATATATATATATAAAGAAAACTAAAAAAACTAGGGCATTTAAACAGTAACCACCATTCATTTAGTTTATCCCTTTTTTTTTAAGTTGTCTAGCAGTCAAAGACTGACGCTTGGGCGGGCCTTGGCTGCCCAACCTAATCTTCTTTCTTTTTTTACTTTTTGGTATATGTATAGCTCATGATTGATAAATATATCTTTAGGTTATAATAGACACTTTGAAACATTTTTAATTTTTTATTTTATTGTAAATTTGTAATGCCTAATTTCTTTTTAAGGGAACAAAAAGCCCATTAACGTACCTTTTTTCTCTCTTCTTTAATGAGTAAATTATAAGTTAGTCCTCTATTTTTTATAAACAAATTAATTAATTTTTTTGTTTTAAAAATTAATTATATAAGTTATTTGATGAGTATTGACTATGCTTAATTTAATATTATTTTATTTAAAAAAATAATTTTTTCTTATCAATTCTTCTATATATTTTTTAAAAACAATTGTAATGACTGATTTCTTTTTAAGGGGACAAAAAGCCCATTGACCGTAACCTTTTCCTCCTCTTCTTTGATGAGTAAATTATAACTAAGTCCTCTATTTTTTATAAACAAATTAATTAATTGTTTTTAAAAAATAATTATATAAGTCATTTGATGAGTATTCACTATGTTTAATTTAAAATTATTTTATTTAAAAAAATCTTCCTTTCTTATCAATTCTTTTATATATTTTTTTAAAAAAATTAAAAATAACAAAAAGGATTCATTATAAAAATTTTAAAAATATAAGAGTTAAATAATTATTTTTTGAAAAAAAGGACTAATTAATTTGTTTCTCAAAATTAATTTTATATATATATATATCATAAAATTAGGTGTGATTTTTTTTCCTGGGTTGAACAGCAACCAAGGCTCGGCTATCCTGGCCACATAGGCCAACCACGCATGAGCCTAACCTTTTTTTTCTTCCTTCATATATATATATATATATAGAGCCTATCCTACCTGCACAGGGCAACCAGGCGTGAGCCTGGCCTCTCTTTTTTTTTTTTTTTTTTTTTATACCTATATATATATATGTTATCTTGAAATTAGGTGTGAAAAGTATAAAAAATAAATTGTTATTTTTTTTTAATTTTACGTATAGCTTGAAGATGATAGAATATATATGATATTTTTTAAGATTTTAGTTTAAATATATATATATCTGATTATATTACTCTTATTGTTTAAAATTTATTTCTTTAATTATTTTTTTCTTATTAAAATCTTATCAAATTAATTTTTTTAATATAATTTTATTTGTTAATAAATTTATTTTTTTAATATAGGAATTTTGGAATAAAGTTTAGAACGTCGGTGTTTTATTTTTTAAAAAAGATATTATTATAATTTGTATAATAAATTATTTTTATGCTTTTTAATATATATATATATATATATATATATATATATATATATATATATATATATATGGAGAGAGGGAGGGAAGGAGGGAGAGAGAGCTAAAAATATGTTTTAGGTAGTTTGCCTCTTTTTTTAAAAAAAAAGTTAATAATCATTTAAAAATATATCTCACACAGTCCTTCTATCTTACATATATATATATATATATATATATCATTAGTTTTATTAGAAATTAACTATATATATGTATACATAATACTAATTATTTGTTATTTTTTCATATTCTAAAATCTGTTTTTAAATAAAATAAGTTAGATAATGTTTTAAAAGAACTTTTCAATTATTCAAATACAAATTTTATGGTAATATTATTAAATATTTTGTTAATAAATATATATAAATCAAACGATTTCGCTTAATTTATAGATTTGATTTACATTAATCACTAGAAATAAAACATTTATTCGTATTATACCATATGAATCATTAATCCTACATATGTAATAGTTGTTTGATTGCACCATAGCACGGGTATCTAACTACTATTTGCTAATTTCGCTTAACTTTTTGCCCATTTAACTCCATTCTGTTTTCCTGATTTTCAGCTCCCCTGGGGCTAGTATGCAGATTCTGTTTTCCCTTTTCCTGATTTTCAGCTCCTCCAAATTCCTCTGCATGAAATGATTTCAATGCTTCCAATCAATGGCTTCTGAGAATTTCTATACATATGCATACAGATTTGACAAATCCATTGTATACTTTTGTTCTTTTTCTCTAATAGAGGTCTGCAGTCCCTATTTAGAGCATAGAGCAGCCATTGTTACAAGTGCGAAACATGACAGACAAACCCAACCTAGCCCAAATCACTAAGAATCTCATCCACCACATTGGCCCACAACAGACCATTTTCTCCATAAATCCATCCAAAGTCATTGCAACAGATTCTCTGTCTGTGGCATCCATTCCTCGCCACTTTTGCTTCAAATTTCCTATGTATTGTATTTACTTAGCTAAAATTATAATCATTTCATCACAAAATGTATAAACAAATGGCTAAAATCATAAAAATGTCACAAATTCATAAATAAAGGACAAAAATTATAATTTTGTCAAAGAAAGCGATAAGAACTTCAAATTATTTTTTTGTTCTTTCGATAAAACTTATACATAAACTAATGAACAATCATACATATTTATAGAGCTTCAAAATTGAAAACGAATTGGAAGAGATTATGAATAAGGATTGCAATGGGGCATGGTGGGGATCGCAATCTTCATCCTCGCCCCATCCTTAAAAAATTTTGCCCTATTACCACCCCGTGCCCCAAACGGGGTAAAATTTTTCATCCATCATTTGGGGCAGGGATCCCAGCGATTCAAATAGGATAAAAATTATCAAATTTTTTTCTCGTCTTATTCTATTTTATTATCAAATTTCAAACTATAGCAAAAAGAAAAAAAGATAGTTTATATAGAAAATAAACCTTAAAAATCACTAGTCACGAATTTTATATAGTATATAATTATAATGAAAAAAATGTAGAGATAAACGGGGCGAGGCATGCAAATACCATCCCCGCCCCGCCTTATTCCTCGGTCAACACGAGGAATCCCAATGTTGATCGGGGAAAATCGGGACGAGGTGGGGTGGGGCGGAGCAAATTGTCATCCCTAACTATGAATAATTAAAATTACGTAAATTGTTGAATCAATTGTATTACTTTTTTAATTTCTCATATTGTTACTTTTTTAATTTCTCATATTGAATGATGAATTAAATCACATTAAGAATCGTGAGTATTGTGAATATGAAAAGTATATGAATTTATTTATATGAAATTCGTTATTTCATAACACACTTTATTTTTTATTTTTTTAGGTTTGTTTATTAATAATAATATATCAATACCATAATTAACACGTAATATTATTAATAATAGCTTCCATTTTCACGCTATTGGATTTACTTGACTGATTTATTTATGTACGTGGATTTGATTTGATTGATATTTTTATAAAGTGTTTGTTTAGTTTGGTTGAATTCTATAAGATTCAATAAAAAGTTTTGTCTAACAAGTCTTTTCTATATTCTTTATACCAAGCTAACCTTTATTTATTTATTTATTTATTTTTATACTTTCCCCTTTTTTAATAATAAATTTATTTTTGTACTTTCCCCTTTTTTAATAATAAATTTATTTTTCATTTTTTTATATAATACTAAAGAATACAATTCATTATAAAATAAAAATATAAAGGTACGTAGTTTATTTAAAATATGCATAAGATAATTAAGTAGGTGGAAAAAAGAGGAGATTTTTTTTAATTTTTTTTTTCAGATTTTGTATTTAAACAATTTAACATCACAGGTCAGAATATTATTAATTTTAAGTTAAAAATGATCGTTGTTGCTTGAAAAATTGGATAAAAGGATGAAATTCAGACATAATTTAAAAATAAAAAAATATAATTATTGAAAAATTTAATAAAAAAATATGATTAAGATACATAAAATAGTAAAAAAAAATCCTGAATTTTTAATCCTTTATTCAAACTTAAGACAATGTTAGTTTACTTATATTTCAAACAATGTTGTTTACGAAACTCATCCGTATAGAAAATGTTTATGGTTTATAAATCTGTATTAGGAAAGTTTTTTCATATCAAGAAACATTGGGAAAGAATCTACATAAACAGTGAGAAGGCACAGCAGGTTAAGTCCTCAAAATGCGATATAATGGTTGCTCGTGCTTTTCTGGCCTGGACATTTTTCTGCCCCTTCGAGGAAACAGAGGGTCGGTGAACTCTTTCAGCGTGGCCCAATCCAGGAGAGGGCATCGTACGGGAAGCATCTAGCAGTACAGCCATCTCCATCATAGAGGGAGGCACATGTGGAAATAATCGAGCACAAATCATGAATAGCATTTATTGCTGTTTGTCTACTTATTTTGCCACTACATTCCTCCAGGAGTTTTTTCATTTTCTATTTCTTTTTCAGTTTTTTTTTTCTTACCTGTTTTATAAAGGGTTTGATACGAGGATGCCCAAGTAGACTGGTTACATTATCATAAAGTTAATGAAAAATAACAAAATCAATCAAATAAAAAAATTAAATTTACACACTCAAATACAAAAAGATTAAAAAATTTACATGCATAAACTCATTTGATACTCACTGAACCTATATTATTGCAAAATCATGTTTTTAGATGAAAATTTTGAGGTATTTACTTCCTTTTTTCCCTTCAAGAGAAAGCAGATCAAAAGTAACTAATGATATGTACGGTAGCTTACTCCATAAGCGTATTTTGAGAAGTGAGATAGACAAAAAAAAAACAAGAGAGAAAATAAAAAAATTTGAGAAGATACTGAAAATCTTCTTTATCACTTTTAACGAATATTAATGTAATTTTTTTTTATTTTTATATCTATCCCTCTTTTAAAATAAATTTAAAAATAACTATCGTATAATTAATTAATAGTACTATAAATTACCGGTGAGCAGTATTGCCAATGTAATATTTAACAGTTATTGAAAAAACGATGGATTTGACCTGACCTGCAAACATACAGAAAATATATAACGATTGCTGCAATTACTTTTGCTTACTTTACTTACTTTTTTTTTTAAAGAGCATGTAAAATATTTCTGTTTTTGTAATTCACATAAAAAAATAAATTTAAAATTTGACTGAAATTATGATAACTTGAAACCATGGAAAAAAAGGCTGTTAGATCTTAAAGAAATTGCTGTATCAGGACTTAGTCAGGGTAGCTTAACCTGGTTTTGCTTTTAATTAGTTCCTCTTATCTAATGGTACAAAAACAAAATAAATAAATACACATTTAGTAATGTTAAATTGACTTTGTTCCAAAAAAAAAAAAGTTTATAAACATTTCTCCAAAAAACAAATAACACTTGTTAAAATGAACAAAGAATTGATTGTTTATTAAGTGGTGTGAAGTAGACACCCTACCTTTCCCCATTCCTACTCAGAATGCTTCCAAGCATAATGCTCAAGAGCAAAGTTTAGAATAATCAAATCAATTAACTATGTCTTTCATTTTCATAAACATCGTTAACAAACAAATTAATCAAAAAACATATAATACAAAGATAAATATAATCACACAACAAAAATTTTAAGTACTACATACCACAAATTACATTAGGAATTCTTAAATAACGACAACAAATATTAATAATATTATCTTTATTTATAGTATAAATAAATTTAAAAAAAAACCTAACAACTAACAAATTCATAATATGGACAACTAACCTAATGAATTTATAATATTATATAACCTTTCTGAAACTCCACCTCGAAACCACCCCCCCCCCCCCACAACAACTTTTAACAATTTTAACTATTTCTTTCATATTCATAATATTTTTCCGCTTCTATGCTAATCCTAAATCAGATACAAAAAATTTAAAAAATAAAAAGAAAACAAATTGCAAATCTAATGCATTTGCACTTAAGAGCAGAGCAGACCCAAAACAACTGTCTACCACAATATTAAGCTCGTTAGAAAGGTAAATATAACGGACAAAATAGAGAAGGACAAAGCATACATAAGCTCAACATAAATCATGTCTAGCTCAATTAATATTAATTATATAACATAATTAAGTATCTATTAGAGTTTAGAACAGCAGTGCACTGAAACAGACCCATGACCCAAGCAAATATAATACTAGCACTACATTAAAAAGCCAAAAGATACACTCCTAATTGAATAGATCAGCCACTAATACTTCACACATCAGCGGTGATGAGGACAGAAAGTGACCAAATAATTTCCACGAGTGCAAGTTGCAATGCTAGTAGGATCATCATAAGCATAAGAGTAGGCCTTAGGACAAGCCGTCTTGAATATTCTGGAATAAGCAGTTGGCTTGCAAGCTTGAGGGGTACCGAAGCTACCAGTGCAGCAATACCTTGGAGAATTGAAAGCAAAACAAGCACTCTTACAAGCCACAACCCTCCTGTTATCCTTCGACCTGACTTGCAACCCAGCAGGACACATCAAGTTTAAGTCACTAACACACCCTGCATAGCTGCATTTGCCTGAGCCTTTAAATGGGGTTATTGAGATTGCAAGATTGTAGCCATCTACAAGGCTAACATCATAGAAATCTTGGTCATTGCCCAGGGTGATTTCTGCTAGTGTGGCAGGTGGGGTGCCTCCAATGCCATTGCAAAAGAGGGAGCCACCACAGTCTCCAGTGGCACAGCGGCCACGCCCAGAGGCGTCAAAGGAACAGCCATGGCGACCCCAGAAGCGGCCGGACCAGAGTGGTGGGAGTTTGAGGGTGTAGGCCTTGTTGGGTAGGAGTTTGAAGCCTCCACGGGCTAATAAGGGTTTTCCTGCACTTGCTTGGATACCTGGCCACACTGGATGGGTGCACTTGTTGTATAGTGTTAATGTTGTTGACGAGACCTCTACATTATGTAATAAGAAAAATAATTAGAAGGTAATGATCAACAATTAAAGAAATAATTAAAAGAGTATATATGCTCATAATAAGCTGTATTTATAAGTATTGTGGTATGGTCTAGGGCTCACCCAAACTAAATAACAGCACATAAAAATAGAAGGAAATTTTCAAAAAGACTAGATCTTTGCTTAGACCTGAGAAAGCTCGGAGCAGGCGAACATGGATTCAAAAGTGGAGAGGGCACAAGAAAGTACCTGAAATGTGGGCGAACATTAGAGTGGAGAGCAAAAGAGTGACCAGAGATCTCAGCATTGCTGCCATGGTGAAAAACTGAGAGAAGCGGGTGAACACCACAAAATGTGCTTGAGGTTGAGGATAGCAAAGAAGAAAAAGTCCTCTCTTTCACTTCCTTTAAGAGCTCACCATTAGTAAGGTTTTTATAGAGCAAAAAATATGAGGGGTAAAGTAAATAAGCGGAATAAGTTAGTAGGGTTACTGCCTTACTGGCCTGATTTTTTATGTGTTTGAAAAAGGAATAAAGTGGGTTGAAATGTGGGCCAGTTTGATTGATTGAGGTCAGAGTTACGTTAGTAAAAGCCTCTAATTTCAACCAATGTTCTGTGCATTTGTGTGTGTTTGAGAGCAAAGATTAACACGAAACCAATACACAGGTTTTAAGGGTGCATTTGGGAAAGTGATGATGGACAAACTGCACAGGTTTCGAGGACATGTCAGAGAGGTCAGTGGGTGAGGCGTTGTCTGCATCTCAGAAAAAAGAAAACCTACTCACATGCCTTAGTGGAATACTTCCATTACTCTGTTGCCCAAATGGTTCCGTATGACTATCCACTCTGCAACTGCGTTTCCCATTTCTTTCTTTTTCGCTCTGGCCTCCAAAAATGTAAAGCATGAGTCTTTTTTTCATGGAAAAATCATTTAGTCAGCAATACCCGCAAAAGAAAGTTGAGAAGAGAGTGAGATTCACTCTCCTTTGTAAACATGTCATTCCTGTCCTTTCTAGCTGAGCTGGTCAGCAGATATTGTGAATTACTTCCCTCTTTAAAATCTTCAAGATTAATTCTTGGGGTCATGGTGATCTGATCAATGATTTTGAAGATCAATGGTGCAGATGGGTTCTGCATATTCGGACGTGGATGAAAGTGGACTTCCCACTCAATGCTGAACACACACGTGAGCAAGATCTTGTTATATATGACATGTTGCTCCCCTTTTGTGTCCCAAAAAAAAAAAAAAAAAAAACCTAATCGGTGACCGAGATTCCATAGGAATAGTTGTCGTGTAATGGACCAAAGGAGAGATCTAAGCCATTAAAGTTTTGTTTTGTACTCCAATGGTTATAAGCATAAACTAGTATTAAAATGAGAAGGAAAACCTGTGTTAGATTTAGATCCATGCTAACGGACATGTGGTAACACAGGAAAAGGTAAAGCTAAACCCATGAGCACTGGTACCCCACTCAAAGAACTTTCGTTTTTGTTTGAAGTTTCTTGGGGTTACCTAACGAGGCTATGACGCGTTTGAATGGGAAAATGATTCTCTGGGGAATTACCCTATGACTAATTACTTGGAAACAAAATAATTGTTGTCAAATGATGCAGTTTTTAGGAGTAAGATTTTGATTTGTTCCTCCTTTGACCTTTTTGTGCTTAAGGGAAGGTCACTTATGCATCAGCTCCAGCAGCAAGTCCTTGCAAGTTACAAGAAATAGTACATTGGTTTGCAGTCTCGTAGAGTTTCAAATTTTATTTGAAGAGATTCTAATAAAATTTCCAGACCTATTTTCCTTTTGTGTTTTAGTATAATTTCTTCAAGAAAACTACAAATAAAATGCTTGTTTTATTCATTAAAAATCTTGTATTTACAATGCTCATCCTAAGTTATATAAAATTCATAAAATTTGTTATTCATACATGACACCGGATTGTCCACAAGGCCTTAATATCGAGATGTTCAAGATGAAAATTCTTTAAAGAGGCCTTAGTCCTTTATTTAACGTTTAGTTGTTTATTTATTTATTTTACTTAAGAATTCTTATTTGTAATAGAGTTTTAGTTTGATCCTTAATTGGTTTGGATTCATATTTAATTAGGAGACTATTTTTATTATAGATCCATAATTAAATGAGAGTCTATAGTTATATAAGTCAATATTTAATATGAAATGGATTAATTAATTCTTATTAAGTTTAGATTGAACTCTTGAGTTATTAAGTCCAATTAGGACTAGAGTTTATTTTAATTACTGTTATTTCATACTGGGCGTACGTTAATAAGTCTAATTGAATTAGGATTTCAATTGCTTAGTTAAATATAATTAGGTTTTAAAAAGTCTAAGCAAATTTTTACTATTATTTTTTGGAGTAATGTCGAATATTATTGACTAAAATCGAGGAGAATTTTCCTTGTTTTTGCATTTGCTTGGACTATGACGTGATTATTATATCCTTAGAGTGATAATCTAAGGTGGATTCCCGATCATTGTGTTCAAGCATCTTATGGTGGTGTTATCTATATCCGCACGTTACTTGACGTACGTATTACGTAAGTGTGCTAATTTTCTTAAGGGTGGTAGACTCTATCTTCAAGGTAAAAATTATTCAACTAGCATAATTTTATTTAATTATTTTGTTTTATTGAGAAAAAAATTCAAGATTAACCTAAGGTTGGCAAATCTCGACCTTAAAGCTTTTGAAGTTAGGGTTGGTTGTTTGAGTTGAAATTTTATCATTCATATATGTTAGGCTTATTAGGTCATATTTTAAAATTCAAAAGAAAAATATAAAATGAAAAAAAAATGGTATTTCGGCATATTTAAAGTTTTATAGAAATCAAGATTTGTCAAAGGCTTGTACTCTCGACTTAGCCTTGTGGGGTGTTTGAGTTAGTTATTATTTGAGGTGTGCTTGTTGATTTGTGAGTGAGTTAAAGTTGTTTTATGGCCAAATACTTGCTTGAAACATTCGAGTCTTGGTAGTGCTTTGTTGTTTATTTGAGCTTCAATAGAGTTGGCCATCTTTATCAATCCAACATCCGTTTGGTATCGAGTTAGGTTGGCTTCCGTTATGTGTTAGGCCGATTATGAAGATGGTTACTTTTGGAAATATTTCTATCTTGATTGTGAGCGAGATGATTCCTAATGTCAATTGGGGTTTTTCTTTTATTTATGATGAATACCCTAATGATGATTATGATGATCATGACATTAACACTAATAATGAATTAGCCAAGAGAGACAAAATGGATTTTGTTAAGATTCCTCAAAAGGATACAAGCTGTAAGTGTTTAGAAGATATCAAAATTACTAGCAATGAAGTTAATGTGGAAAATCCTCTTTATGTCGAAGAGGTAGAGGAAGTAATAGGTCTTAATATGGTCCACTGCATATCAAGCTATGCCAATCAATTAATGAAAATACCTCTTGTCTTAAAGTTGGCAACAAGAAGAAAAAAAAATTAAAGACTCTTTTTGCATTTCTTAGTTTAGGAGTGTGTTTACTCGTTGAAGACATATGTGATTTAAAAAACTTAAAAGTAGCGAGATGATGTTGGTATTGGTTAGATGCATGTATGGAATAATGCAAGTAATCAATCAATTGTATAGGAACGTTTAGGGTCGCATGTGTTTGGAAGGTTAATTGCGATGGCAAATAAAGTTCCTCATAAAACTTTACATGATAAAGTATAAAATAAAGTTGTACGAGGTCGACACAAGGTTTTTCTTAACTTGAATGCAAAGTGGTTTTGCCCAAGATAAAGTTGAAGCGGGAACATGCCGAATAGGTAGAGTTCGGTTTGTTGTTGTAAACTTACAACAATAAACGAGTTATGGGATTTTATCAACAAAAAGAGGCATAACATGAAGTAGAAAAGTTACAATGTTATGAGTCCATTGAGGAAATATAAGCGGTGGTAGACATGGTTTATCAACAAAAGAGGTTACGGTTGTCGCAAAACAAGCATGTGAGAAGAAAAAAGATGATAGTAAGGATGGAACTGTTTAGAGCATTGCAATATGTGGAGAAAACAATGTAAATGTAATAAGTGGTATACAAGAACGATGTGATTTCTATTCAAACAACGCAAAGATGGGTGTTAGCTATTGTCTCTTCAATAAAAAAGGTTAAAAAAATAATAAACCAAAAGATATAAATAGCTAAAATTGCTTTCAACTCTTCAATGCAAGTTCTTGCATAATATTAAGTTGGTGTGTTATTGTAGAATTCCTTACCCATATATAGTGGATTGACATCTTTTTGATGAAATATACTCTATAAATGTATCTTATGTTTATCCATGGATCAAACTATATAGGATGAACTTTTAGTTGGTATGGTCTTCAAACTCAATTAGTTAAACCTAAGTTGATCAAAGAGGTATTGGGTAATAGAGATGGAGCATATCTTAAATTGATAATCCAAATTTATATAAACTCTTAGTTGGACTTATATGTCTTTGATGGAAAGATTGGTAAATCTTAAAACTAAGAGATTCTTTTGTTAGTCAACTTTCTATTTTATGTTTTGGGTAGTTTTTTTTATTATAGGAGATTTTTAGTTATTTGTTTCCTCGAATAGATCATAAAAGAGCGGTCTTTGTTTTTGTTTTTAAGTTATTTAATGCAATGATGATTGATGAATAAAAATCAATTTTGTAGAATTTTTCAAACAACCATTGATTTCATGGTATTAAAGTGAAACATTTCTCTAGGTAATGCTTTTCGATAATATTGTTGAAAGCCAAAGCCCTTTCATGGCCGAACCAATTCAGCTTTTGTCCTCCTCCAAATCCTCTAGGTGGATTTAGGTTATCATGAATGAAATAGTGAGAATGAGAATGTGAATGAAAGTTTTATTCTCATTTTATAGTTGTTTGGTTAAAAGGAATGAAGTAGAAATTGAAATAAAATTAAGCATAGTTTTATTCATATATGAAAGGTGGAAATAAAAATAAGAAATAAGAATGAATTTTTTCTTCAAAATAATGATATATTATTTTTATTTTTGTGTATCAATTACTTCTACCACTATCATAACCATCACCACTACCTTCATTGGTAATGATAATAATAAAATTATTATTATTATTATTATTTCTACAACCATCATTATCATTACAATCACTTCTATCGAGGGTGATTATAAAAATTTTTTAAAAAAAATTATTATTATTATTATTATTTCATCATCATTTCTCTTCAAGCACCACCACCATCATTGATAGTGGTAATAAAAAAAGTTATTATTATTGTTATTTTCTCACTACTCTTCCGTTATCGACACCATTGTTTTTCTTCTATTGTCAT